CCTATTTCTTTATGTTATTGGTTGCAAAGAAGATAAAAAATTATTGTTCAAAGTTCTTATATCATGTTCATGTTCAATGGTTAATTAGTGGTTTGAATTTTGTTAAAGTTTCATAGCATATCATATGAAATCATGAGCATGAGCATCTTCTTATCATTTTCATGCTTAATCATACCTTATGATATATGATATTGATGTGATTGTTGATGACGAAGTACCAGAAGTGGCTCTTTGGAGCAAATACGGCCTTTGAGGCAAGATGGAACGAAATGAAAACGTTATGGCCATGATATGTACCTGATCAGTACAATTCGGTACTCCGGGACGGATGTATACAATAATGAATGGAAAGATAAACATATGCAAGTATATCACATGTTATCTCATGATAAGAAAGCATATTTCATGTTATCTAATGTTAGACAAGCATAACTCATATCATGTTCAATACATAGTCAACTTCATACTTGCTTCAAGACATACATTAAGACATCTATAAGCACATGTGTAGTTTATTAATCCACAAGTTCTCTTCTTTTAAATGTACATGAACTTTAGCTGTAGTTGTCACATACTGAGCGTAGCTCACTCCCTAGTTTTGGGAATTTTCAGGAGAACCTGGTAGAAGAGATGGCTGACAACCCGCGGTTTACATATAGTCGTCGTACCCCGGGTGACAGGTTCATTTATAGTAGTTTTACTTGTTGTAGTCTCTTACTTTATAATTTTGGATGGCTTAGCATGTTGGTTGGTAGTTAGCCATCTTGTTTATTTTGAAAACACTTTTTGGAATGAAAATAGAAAATGTTTAGAGGCGCTTTTTGTCTTTGAAGATTTCATTGAATAGTTTTATTTACTTGAAGAATGATTAGTTACTTATCTAAACGTCCGATCTCGTTCCCGCCTCGTATCTACGAGCTAACCGGGCCGGGTCGTGACAATTTCAATCCAAAAATTTGTACCTATATGAAGGCCAACCATTTGATATTTCTACATGAAGGTACTTCACGACTATTCGTTATGGGGATAAATACAATCTCTAGTGTGTCATGCTCTCACAAAGCTATTCCACTTTTATTGGTAGTTATTTGATTTAACATGTAGTTTATTTTAATAACAACAAATAATGACCACAAGTATGGCGAGTGGAACTCACTAGCAGTTGTGAATGCTTTTGATTTGTTTCAGCATTTCCAGATTTAATTTTGTGGTCTCCACTATTCCAGAGATTTGCCTCTATCATTTCTTTTATTTTCCTTGTTACTTATTCGTCTAATTTAGCAGCTAATGGTAATCCTTATTATTTTTTTTAAGTTTAGGTTGTCAATGATGTAGTATCTTCTGGTATGGTTTGTGAATGGCTGCAAGATTGTGCCCTTGAGCAGTTGTCAGAGTTTTCATTGCTTCTACTTCAGCTGTTTGTGGGTTCTGTGAAGCTTCTCAAGGAAGATATTTCGTTAGTACATGCAATGTTAACTGTGATAACATCCACTATGAGATTGTCACAGAAAAGAAATATATACCAGCCACATTTTTCCTTATCACTTGAGTGTTTATTGCAATTATTCCAGGCTGTCAATGTTAAATTTGGTAACTTGGGGCATACCATTGAACTTGGGATGAATGCCATTCTCATGGCCATACCTACACCAGTTGCATCACAAGTGGTATCTTTCTTAACCCCAAATTCTCATTTATAAGATCATACTTTCATAGTTCTTTTTATAACCAATTTAACTGGATTGCCATTCATCTTTCCTATATTTTTATTCTTTTTATACACAAATTGAGCCTGTGACCTCTTTTGGTGTATTAATAATGACTGCTGCAAACAATGTGGTGTGGCTTGTACTGCAATTTTTGTCTTGTTGACACTGTTAACGTTTGCCTTTCAGTGATTGTCAGATTGAAAATTCATTTGTAGGGGTGGCTGAAGAGTTTATCGAGTATTATTGTTTTAAGGATCAATATTAAGTTTGTTTCTTTTTTACTCATGAGATATAAAAAGATATTCTACACCAGACATTTTAGTTCATGCTATTTGCTTATGATATGTTGTTAATAGGTTAGACATTTAAGTAGATTGTTACAATGAAGAAAACTTTTTGAAAATAAAGAGCTTAGAGAATGATGCGTACTGGTTTTCTCATTGTAGTGGATTCGAATAAGTATCATGAGTTAACATTTATTGCAAGGTGATACATAGCTGTAATAATTTTTTAAGTATTTTAGATTTATTGTACAAAAGAATGAGGATATCAATGGGGTCTTAACTTTCAAGGTTGAAATTGGTCAGTTAAAATGGAGAAGTGCTTTATTAAAGTGAAAGTTTATGAAGCAGTAAGTAGACGATCTATTCCATATAGATTTGAGTTTTGGCTACATGGAAGTTAGTGATAGCTACATTTATTGTTGCACATTGATCTTTTGGCTATTTATTTGAAGTTTGAATGTAATAAACTAAATTAATTAATGAAATCAATTTCTATAAGAGCTGCCAAAATGTTGGAAATCTGGAAATCGAGGTGCTGTTATATTAACTCTTTTTACAATAAGATTAGTTTGGATGGGTGGATGGGAGATTTGTTTATGAATTCTGGAAACAACTTTTAAATCATTATACATTCGTGATGGTCACACAGGAGGAAGGGCATAATGGTGTAGAGGGAATTTGGAATCTCGATATACTATATAAGTTACTTCATGGTTGGAGATTAAAACATTTTAGCCCTTTCTTTTTCATTCAATAAAAAATAAAAGCCATTTGGGATAGAAAGAAGTTCAAGAGTACCTTCGATTTTCACACTTAGTTAGTGCAATACTCGGAGGGTGCCTCCGAGGAGTGGACGTAGGTCAAGGATTGACCGAACCACTATAAATCCGGTGTGATCTTTCTTTGTTTTGCTTCACAGAGGAGGAAGGGCATAATGGTGTAGAGGGAATTTGGAATCTCGATATACTAGATAAGTTACTTCATGGTTGGAGATTAAAACATTTTAGCCCTTTCTTTTTCATTCAATTGGGAATTTTTCATCGACTAATTTAAAGTAGTTTGTAATCGAGTACAATATAGAAAATAATAAATTATGTTGAATGACTAAAATATTATTTCACTATGGACTTAATAACCAAAAGAACTTTGAACTTTTTATATTCCTATAGATTTTTCTTTACACTATATTTGATTGAATAGAGCTTATTTTATTTTGGGTGCAAATTTCTCATAAGAGCAAGATCCTACGATTAATCACATTCCAATAGTGTTTGGCCCTTAAGAAAATTATTGATTAAAATAGTATTTTATATTCTCTTATATCAAAATATTGGCTAACATTTTTATATGGTTTTCAAATATTTCATTTCAAAGATGATTGTGGAATTTTAAGAATAATATGATTAACTTAGAATTGATTTGATGTAGACAAAGGGGGGGTCAACTCATGTAAAAAATAATCAGATTTTTGGCTTCCCTTGAGTCTACTAGCTCAATCAAAATTGAGCTAAAATTTTAGCTCATTTATGAGTTGGTCTTTCGTTCATTTATTGAACTAAGGGTTAGCTCATTATTAGCTATGATTTTAGTTCATATTTATCTTATATTAAATGTACTTTTTATGCTTTTTATGTTTTTAATTATGTAGGTCTCTTGGAATTCCAAACCGGCTTTTGGAATTCCAAGATTTGCTTTTTTCCCATGCGTGGCTCCTTGGCTTCCACCATGGCTTTTTGTATTTTGTGCTTTTGCCCCTTGGGATTCCGGCCGGCTGCTGGTTTTCCGCGCCTGGGCTCCTTTCCGTGACCGTGACTACTTGGAACCGTGCGGCCTCCTTGGCTCCCACGGTTGCCCCTTCGGTTCCTTGGCTTGGGTGTGTTTTTTCGTGCAAAGCATTTGAGATTAATGCTTGTGATGTTTAGGTTCTTGTGATAATTTATGTTATGTGTCTTTTGGTCTTCCCCTTTCATACCTATATATATGAGGGGTTATGTATTGTTTAAAAAAGTTGAATGAAATGTTATTTTTGGAAAAGTTTTAACCTGCGGGTTTGAATTTGGAAATCCTGTGGGCCTCTTTCCACCCTTCTTTCTCATCCCCTCCGGAAATCCTGCGGGCTTTTCCAACCTTTTTCTCGGGCTTCTAACTCTTTCGTTTCTCCGCAAGTGCCACTCCCCTGTATCCTTCTTCTCCAAGTGCAGCAACTTTAGGGTGTCGTCATTTTATTTGAAGTCTAGTTTGTAAGTTTTATTTATGACAATTTTGAAATGTAAGAGTTTGTTCTCTTCTCTCTTCTCATCTTGAATTTCGTCTCAAGTCGTGTCTCTTCGTTTTTGTGTCGTCCCACCTCTCTTGTGCGGCGGGGAGGGGTGTAGGCTCGCCTATATTTCTCGCCCCCACCATTTGGTATCAGAGCAAGTTAGGGAAGTCCTAGGTTTGTGTGTTTGTCAAGTTGTAGTCAAGTCAAGTCATTTGTTGTGAGTCTTGTTGAGTCTCTTAAAAGAATTGTTGAGTATAGTTTTTTTTTTAAATTGAGTTTTTGTTGAGCCTTTTTTTGAGTCAGTCAAAAAATGCGAAAATAACAAAAAATAGCTTCATTCATGGAGGAGATCAATCATGAGAATTCTGATGTCTCACTCCTGTTGGACAGATGGATTCCTACAGAAGGCGACTCAACGGATCCACTTCAAGATCGTCTATACAAGCTTCAGTATCACATGTTCCTATGTGATCAAAATTCGAGAAGTACAAAAGGTATCTACAAACAACAGTTCGAAAGGAACATGAAAGAAATTTTGAAGAGATTTGGTGAGAAACTCAAAAAGAGCTGGATGAACAGTATGCACCTTCTCAAGGGAATCAACAACCAACTCATCAGGAGCTGGAGTTTGCAAGAAGGGGAGTCTTGATGTAGACAAGGGGGGTCAACTCATGTCAAAAATAATCAGATTTTTGGCTTCCCTTGAGTCTACTAGCTCAATCAAAATTGAGCTAAAATTTTAGTTCATTTATGAGTTGGTCTTTAGTTCATTTATTGAACTAAGGGTTAGCTCATTATTAGCTATGATTTTAGTTCATATTTATCTTATATTAAATGTACTTTTTATATTTTTTATGTTTTTAATTATGTAGGTCTCTTGGAATTCCAAACCGGCTTTTGGAATTCCAAGATTTGCTTTTTGCCATGCGTGGCTCCTTGGCTACCACCATGGCTTTTTGTATTTTGTGCTTTTGCCCCTTGGGATTCCGGTTGGCTGCTGGTTTTCCGCGCCTGGTCTCCTTTCCGTGACCGTGACTCCTTGGAACCATGCGGCCTCCTTGGCTCCCACGGTTGCCCCTTCGGTTCCTTGGCTTGGGTGTGTTTTTTCGTGTAAAGCATTTGGGATTAATGCTTGTGATGTTTAGGTTCTTGTGATAATTTATGTTATGTGTCTTTTGGTCTTCCTCTTTCATACCAATATATATGGGGGGTTATGTATTGTTTAAAAAAGTTGAATGAAATGTTATTTTTGGAAAAGTTTTAACCTGCAGGTTTGCTTTGGAAATCCTGCGGGCTCTTTCCACCCTTCTTTCTCATCCCCTCCGGAAATCCTGCGGGCTCTTTCCAACCTTTCTTCTCGGGCTTCTAATCTCTTTCGTCTCTCCGCAAGTGCCACTCCACCTGTATCCTTCTTCTCCAAGTGCAGCAACTTTAGGGTGTCGTCATTTTATTTGGAGTCTAGTTTGTAAGTTTTTATTTATGTCAAATTTGAAATGTAAGAATTTGTTCTCTTCTCTCTTCTCATCTTGAATTTCGTCTCAAGTCGTGTCTCTTCGTTTTTGTGTTGTCCCACCTCTCTTGTGCGGGCGAGGGGTGTAGGCTCCCCTATATTTCTTGCCCCCACCATGATTTCAAGTAAAAGCCAAAGAAAGAAATAGCTGGAATACTTGATTTTGAAAAGCTCAGAGGTACTTAATACTATTTTATATTGAGATTTATTTTTTGAGATTGAATTTATATTGTAGTTGAAAAATTTTGTTTAGAAAATTTATATTTACATTAAAAAAACACAAGATTGAAGAAATGCTCAGGAAGATGAGGATTTATGATGTAATTGAAAAGACAGCCTTAAATCCTAGATCTATGGTGAGAACCACTGATAGGTATTTTACTTGGACATAAATATAACAAATGCATAGGACTTATGAACTTGAAATCTCACATGAGGTTTAATCAGCCTAACCTTTGCTTTATAATACTGCCTATAAAAGATGGTCAACAAAATCCATCTAAGCGCTTTTATAATTATATCATCTGGGTCTCAATGCATATTCAATATATATTAGGCTATTTTGATTTAATAAAAAGACTTATGACTTAACCATTTAAGCTAAGTTACTTGACTATAAGGATACGTATATGCTAACTCATGCTATATTTCTTTTGGTTATGTTATCCTTCATGTAATGCTTTTTATTTCTACTTGTGACTGAAAAGGCTATGCATATGATGTTCAGGAGCTAATATAAATTGGTTTGATGCTGAATTTGATAAACACACCCTTATGAATATGCAATTCCTTAAATATTAGATTGCATATTAAGATCCATAATGAGGCTTTACATTTTATTTAGATCTAGAAAATTTATCTTATTTTTTGGATAAAATATGGAAATTTTATATGAAAATATTGTTGTATAGTTGATTTTAGAGTTATTAATATCTTAATGGATAAAAAAATTATTATCCTATCAGCCACCCTCAAGTAAAACGTTGGGAGAAACCTAAAAAAAACTTGCATTTCTAATGTGCACTAACTAAACATACAAATTTCATAGAATTACTCAACAAAAAGAATAATATAGGGGCTGTTTATAATCAAGGAAAATATAAAAAGGTAGCTGAGTTAACCTGCATTATATAACCCAGTTAAATATATTGACTTAGTCTGTGTGGGTATTCAAATTTGACTTCTGATGCATCCATAGCTTCACGTTGGGGTTCATCCTTCTGTTTCATTATTTCTTTGTTGCATCTCATAAGCTTATATGATCTCCTAAAACTAACAAATGAATCACATTTTTTGAAGGAAAAAAGAAAAGTCTAATTTTCCTGTAGAACAAATGTTAGGAAGCATATAATGTGTTGAATGATCATGGGACTCAGAAGTTATTCAATTTTGATAGAAATTCTTGAGCATGTGGATTAATAGTTCTAATTATTGGATCGATCATCTTGTTAACCTTTAGATTACAATATGTTTGCCACCTCTTTCTCTTCTAGCTTGTGGACTTTTTTTGCAATAGCTTTAATTTATTTCAATTATAAGACTTTTGAAAAATTTATACGTACTTCCATACTTGATACAAATTCAAACAATAAAATTCAAAGTATTTTTTTCAAATTTCTACTCTTCTACATTATATTAGAGTTTTTACCCATAGTAATATACTGCTTGTTCCTCATCTTACACTAAATATTCTATCTATTCATAAAATCATTAAAGATCACAACCAGAAGGTAATCTTTTTTTGTTTAGCATTCCTTATTTTAGGACCTCACCATGAGAAAGAAGATTGGGCAAGCTTAAGAAATGGATGGGCTATATCTTCTTGAAGATGAAAACCACTTGCGATGTTCTTTCATCTCTAGACTCAATATAAAAGCCATGTAGGAACATCATTATAGGCTAGGACATCTTTCTTTCAAAACCCTACAATGTATGTTTCATTCACTTTTTATGAATGAAAACATGAAAATTTTTTATTGTGAGACTTGTGAAATTGCTAACATCATCATGTTGTTTTTTTTTTTAAAGTCATTCTAGAGTCGACGCCTTTTCTATTTATTCAGTTTGACATTTCGCGACCCAAAATCCCCAATATTTATGGAGCTACAAGATATGTCACCATTATTGATTATTGCATTATATCTTATCAAATAAAAATGTGATGTTATCATTATTCTCGTAATGTTTACTACTATGATATAAAAAAATTCAATACTGACCTTAAGTTATTTCAGACTGATAATCCTTGTAATTATTTTAATTACACATTATAATCTTTCTTCCAGAAAGAAGGCATTATCCACCAATTCTCCTGTCCTAACACTCTCCAACAAAATGGTGTGGTGGAAAGGAAAAATTGCCATCTTTTGAGTCATTGGAACTCTAGAATTAAGTGCTCAAAAGATAGTAGGGAGAAATAATCCTAATTGCGACATATCTAATCAATATAATACTCTCATGAGTGATTGACTTGAAAAGTTCTATAAGCTATCTAGTTGAATTTTTCCCCACAAATTACTTTCTTTCAAAAATTTCACCAAATATCTTTGGATGCATTGCTTATGCTTACATCCATGAGCAAGACAGTGATAAACTTGATTCTAATGCCCTCAGATGTGTCTTTATTTGGCATTCCTTTACTCGAAAGGGGTATGAGTGTTATCATTCTGCCATCAAAAAATTCATAACTTCAAATGATGTCACCTTTAATGAGAAGTAAAATTTTTTCAATCAAACTCATATTTAGATGGAGAATTCTTGATTTAAAGATAAGGTTGATGAAACCTCTATCTTTCACCTTAACATCCCAACAAAATTTTTAATAAATCAATCTAGACACCCCTTCAACTCTATAAAAGAAGGAATAAACCAAGCTAAAATTTTTAGCAAACTCAAGACTTCCAACTATTAATAGGTAACAATGATCAACCCATCACTATGCATTCTTTTATATATCCCATCTTCCAATACACATCATTTTAAAATTTTTCTCCTACTCAAAAAGCCTTCCATACAAACATATGGTCAAATTCTATTGTAATATCACAAACCTTATTTGAGGTATTTGGAAAAAAGAATTAGAAGGATGCCATGAGAGAAGAAATGAATACTCTAAAAAAATACACTGGGAAGGTCGTCAGACTACCAAAATGAAAGAAGATTGTAGGATACAAAAGAATTTTTTCTCTTAAATATAGGGCAGATGGAAGCCTGAAACGGTATAAAGTGAGATTGATAGCCAAAATGTATGCAATCATATGGAATTGACTATCACAAAACTTTTTCCCTTGTTGCAAAAATGAATACAAAACTATCTCTTGTAACCAATTGTGGATGGTCCATGCAACAATATGATGTTATGAATGCTTTCTTACATGAGGACGTTGAAGATAGAAGCTTGGAATGGAATAAAGCGAGATAGAAGCTTGGAACAACATTGAGTGAGATATGTAGCCAAAGGGTATACTGAATCCTATGAAATTGACTACTAAGAAACTTTTGCTCTTATTTGAAAAATGAATATATTATGCATCATAATATCTCTTGTAACCAATCATGGATGGTCTATGCAATAAAATGATATAAAGAATGCTTTCTTACATGAGGATGTTGAAGAAGTCTATATGGATTCATCACCTAGATTTGATAGTTCTTTCACAAAGAACAATCTGTGCAAATTAAAAAAGGCTCAATAAGGTCTTAAGCAATCTCCGAGAGCATGCTTTGAAAAAATCATAAATAATGTGAAGGGGGTGATACTCTCTTCATAAAACACTCTACTAATGGTTGAATCTTAATTCTTGTTGTATATATTGATGATATAATTTTTATAGTTGATTACAACATAGAAAAGGGGTCTCTCAGAAACAAGCTTGTTGAAGAATTTGAGATCAAGGAGTTGGGCAAGTTTAAATGCTTCTTGGGCATAGAAGTTGCTTAATCATAAGAAGGAAATTCTTTTTTCTCTACAAAAATACGTTGTAGATCTAGTGGAAAAAACATAAATGA